AGCGATCCCAATTTTCATTTTTAAGCTTGGGGTCTTTAGCAAGCTCACGTTTTATCATAAGGCGCTTAACGTTATAAATTGGGTGCACATTTGCAAAACAGTCCTCAACAATCTTGCGCACGATACGCAAACCGTGATAAGAACCCATAGCTGACACAGTATTACCTTGTACAAGCACGTAACAGTTGGTAAGCAGCTCAATAGCTTTGAGCGTGGCTCCATCGGGACCCACAAGACGCTGGCGGCGCTTCACAAAGCGCTCTCTGTTGCGCACGAGGCCGCCAATTTTAATAATATCACATTGCACTTCATCATCCAGGATTTTAACCGCTTGATTTACGGGAATACTACGCGCGAGCAACTTAATTAGATCACGAGCCTTGAGCACAATGTATGGGTCAGTGGTCTTGCGCGTAGTGCGCACGGTCATGCTACCTTCGACAAGATTTAATTCGCATGAGATTTTGTGTGAATCTAAGGCCTTAGTGACAATGGGCCACACTTCTCGCAAGTATTTCTCACGGTATTTTGGAAATAGTGTGGCAAATGAGCTTTCTTCCAGCAGACCAGGCATTTTAAGCTTCTTGTTCTTCTCGTTCTCCACCTCGTCTTGCCAAGGATCAATCTTCCAGTGATCAATACTTTCACTATCCCATGGTTTATCTTTGCGGTGATTTTTTTTCTCTTGCTGCAACTCCGCCTCCAAGTGGTTTCGCGGCGCGTCGCCGTCAAATTGCTCCATTGTATGTCAAATAGTCGTTGAAAGAAAGCATACACCAACCAAATTTGAGAGCATTTGTCATTTTGTATTCACTAGCCGGTTAATTTCTACTTATTGAGCAGTGTCGGAAATATGTTTTTAGTAAGGCTCTGTATTAGTTTATTTACTGCTTACCTAAATTTAGGTATGGCAATAAATAGAGAAAAAAAAAATGTACCGGATAAACATACAATAAAAACAATATACCAGACATCTGGAAGTCAAACTCCCTTGAGTATAGTTATCTGCATATTTACATGTATACATCTCGCAACTAAATGGATCATATATGGAATAGAAAATGCTAAACCACAGATCAAATTGGTCAAACTTGTCATGGCAGTCAATAAAATTGGTCGCCCCAAAAAAGTTGCTGATAAGGAAGACAGAGATCGTATTTTAACTTTGAGCAGCCGAATTGCGGAGTGAAGAGCGCGATAATTAACTGCTTTCTATGATTCAACGGGGTTAATAGTCAAAATTCAGAGGATGAATCTATAAAGTTCTTTGCCGACTTTGCGTTGCTCCACATGCTACAAAGTCTTCAAATTACGTGTCTTGGACAGCAATGCATAGTCCATATTCTGTCAAGTGTTCCATTTGAAATGGTGTCATTCGCCATTCAGAGATTTCATCGCGTGACAGTTTATGCCCTTCGGCAGCATCTTCAGTAACAATAGTACTACTGCTAAATGATAACGAGGATATAATATCGCTCAACATACTTTAAAGCCACAACTTTACAGGCGACCGACCTTCGAATGTTAAAAACATTTGCCAATTTTTTTTGTTCAATGGAATTCTGTAATAGTCAATTTTTGTGTTTTTTTTTGCCTTTTCAGCAACCACGCTCAAGCGAAGTCAAGGAAAAGAGTCCATGTGTATGTAGAAGTCGCTTTCAGAGTCTTTCTGATAATAAGGCAAAATAGTGGTTGGCTTGAACTCAGAAGGCTACAATTACGGCACTTTTCTACATACCATTGGCCAGACAAATGATCAGTCTTTGAGCACGATCACAGCTTGATAGCCAAGACAAGCTGCCAATGATAATCTTGAACGTGACCACACCATCGTGCAGAAAGTGTTGGATCTTTTGTGCAC